CACACACACACACACACACACACACACACACACACACACACACACACGCACACACACAATCAGTGATCACCAGATACCTGAAAGAAATGGCAACATGAACTTGAGTGTGAGATGTTATTTCTTGACTTACAGATGACCTATTCTGTGGTTTCTCATTTTATTCTCATTCATTTTGTTTTCTCTCTAGTGAAATAACACCTCTTGATTAGAATAATCTTTTTTTTTTTTTTTTTTGAGTTGGAGTCTCACTCTGTCACCCAGACTGGAGTGCAGTGGCCGCTTCCGGCCACCGCAGCCTCGACCTGCTGGGCTCCAGCAATCCCTCTGCCTCAGCCTTCCAAGTAGCTGGAACTACAGGCGTGCGCTATCATGCCCGGCTAATTTTTTGATTTATTGTAGAGATGAGGTCTTGCCAAGTTGCCCAGGCGGGTCTCAAACCCCCGGGCTCAGGCAATTCACTCACCTCAGCCTCCCAAGGCGCGGGATTACAGGCTGAGCCACCGAGCCCGGCTTAATTTTTGATTTATTGTAGAGATGAGGTCTCGCCAAGTTGCCCAGGCGGGTCTCAAACCCCCGGGCTCAGGCAATCCACTCACCTCAGCCTCCCAAAGTGCAGGATTACAGGCTGAGCCACCGAGCCTGGCTAGAATAATCTTTTAAACATTTGGTCCTAAGACCTTGAGAAGTATTAACTCCTTAGATACCCCAGAAAATTTTTAATCCATAAATTCAGGTTGTTTACCATCTATACTGCTTATGGGATTCTATAGTAAATTATAACTTTTACTTCTTTTCCTATCATACTTTGTTGTTTTGTTTGTTTGTTCATTTTCTTTTTTTTTTTTTTTTTTTTTTTGAGTCAGTCTCACTCTGTCACCCAGGCTGGAGTGCAGTGGAACGCTCATGGCCACCACAACCTCGACCTGCTGGACTCAGGAGATACTTCCACCTCAGCCTTCCAAGTAGCTGGAACCACAGGCACATGCCAACATGCCAAGCTAATTTTTTTATTTATTGTAGAGATGAGGTCTTGCTATGTTGCCCAGGCTGGTCTCAAACCCGTGGGCTCAGGCAATCCTTTTGCCTTGGCCTCCCAAAGTGCTGGGATTACAGGTGTGAGCCACTGCACCCAGCTTGTATCACATTTTTCATAAGTTTTCAGGTATTTTTATTCATTAGGAATGTGTGGTGTGGGACTGTTGCCTATATTTGCCTGTTTTTCCTTGTGCTGACCCTGCTATTGAATGAGTAGGTTGCTGCTTTTTACTACTTTTTCTGACTTGCTTTTTTGAAATCAAGTTGTCCAGGTCGAATAATTTTTTTCATCATCTGTAACTTTGTTGTACACTTCATTTATTTATGAGTTATTTATTATTGATTTTTCATAAAACATTTGAATCCCTGTTAAATGTAAGCCATAAGAAGATACCTTGTTTGCAATTTATACAACAGTGACATGACCAACAGAGGTAGGGAACTTCCAAGCCTCTACTCACTTTTTCCTGATCACCTTTTTCACCTCTCAGATTATGTCTTGCTGTTTTCCTACTTTATCTGATCTTGGTCAGCCTAGTTGCAAATGGAAGTCTTTGACAAACTTCTTTCCTTCCTTCCTTGCTTCCTCCCTTCGATCCTTCCTTTCCACCTACCTACCTACACCCACATACACCAGTTTTCATTGCTTTGATAGTGCACTTCTCTATTTTCTTTTCTCTCTTTACAGTGAGGTAATTTTTTGCTTTTTTTTTTTTTTTTTCATTTTGAGTATCAAGTATCATCCTAGGAGATACTTGTTTGAAATACATTTTCCTCCTATGTTTTCATTCTACCATAGTGAAACACAAGTGACTCTTTTTTTTTTTTTTTATACTTTCAGGCTATGACTCTAGGATTGAAAAAAGGAAATTGACTCCAAAGAAGGACATTTCTGAAGAAATAGAATCCCAAAAAGTAAAATCAGATGAACATATTAGGAATATTTTCAAGGAACCTGAAGAGATGAGTAAAACTGAGGGAAAACTAGAGAATTACTGGAGAAAATCTATATTAGAAGGACTGAAAAATTCCTCCCAGAAAAGCAGTTTCACACCAGGTAACATGAGCTATGTGAAAACCCCCTATGGCGAGACTAGCCAGACGTTCAATACTTTTGGGGAAAACTGCATTACAGACTCAAATGCTGCCAAACATCTTAGAGTGTCTAGAGAGGAGACTCTTCATCATGTGTTGAGCATGTCATCTGTTGAAAATTTTCAACAATGTAAGGAGTTTATTAACCTCCATAGTTTCCAGTTAGGAGAAAGAGCTTGTCAGACAGATGTGTTTGTGAAAATACCAAGACAGAATTCAGTTCCTAGTAAGAATCAAAGGATTAACAATCCAGAGAGACCCTCTGAGTATACTGAATATAGGAAAACTTTCAGTCAGAACAGAGCTCCTAATCAACTTCAGAGAATTCGTAGTGGAGAGAGGCCATATGAGTGCAGTGAATGTGGAAAAGCTTTCAGTCGGCACTCTGTCCTCAGCAAACATCAGAGAATCCACACTGGTGAGAAACCCTACAGCTGTGAGGATTGTGGCAAAACTTTCAGTGCTCGCTCATACTTTAGTCAGCATTGCAAAATTCACACAGGAGAAAAACCCTATGAGTGTAGTGAATGTAGGAAAGCTTTTAGTACATGTTCATCTTGTAGTCAACATCTAAAAATTCATACAGGAGACAAACCTCATGAGTGTAATCAGTGTGGAAAAGCCTTTAGTCATAGTTCAAATCTGATTCATCATCAGAGAATTCATAATGGAGAGAAACCTTACAAGTGTAAAGAATGTGGGAAAGCCTTTAGCAGACAGTCACACCTTGTTCAGCATCAAAGAATTCATTCTGGAGAGAAACCTTTTGACTGTAATGAGTGTGGCAAAGCCTTCAGTGCACGGTTATCTCTCATTCAACATCAGCGAATTCATACAGGAGAAAAACCTTATGAATGTAATGAGTGTGGAAAATCGTTTAGTCTGAACCGAACGCTTATTGTCCATCAGAGAATTCACACTGGAGAGAAACCCTATAGGTGTAATGAATGTGGAAAATCCTTCAGTCAACGCTCACAGGTTATTCAACATAAGAGAATTCACACTGGAGAGAAGCCTTATATCTGCAATGAGTGTGGAAAATCATTCAGTGCTCGCCTATCCCTTATTCAGCATCAGAGAATTCACACTGGAGAGAAACCTTATGGATGTAGTGAATGTGGGAAAACCTTTAGTCAAAAGGGACATCTTATTCAACATCAGCGAATTCATACTGGAGAGAAACCTTATGAATGTAATGAGTGTGGAAAAGCTTTCAGCCAGAGTTTTAATCTTATTCACCATCAAAGGACACATAATGGTGAGAAGCCCTATGAATGTAATGAATGTGATAAAGCCTTCAGTGTGCTTTCTTCCCTTGTTCAACATCAAAGAGTACATAATGGAGAGAAGCCCTATGAGTGTCACAAATGTGGAAAGGCCTTTAGCCAGGGTTCACACCTTATTCAGCATCAGAGGAGTCATACTGGAGAAAAACCCTATGAGTGTAATGAGTGTGGGAAAACCTTTGGACAGATTTCTACTCTAATTAAGCATGAGAGGATACACAATGGAGAGAAACCATATGAGTGCAGTGACTGTGGGAAGGCCTTCAGCCAAAGTGCACACCTTATCCGCCATCGAAGAATTCACACTGGAGAGAATCCTTATGAGTGCAGTGACTGTGGAAAGGCCTTTAATGTTCGCTCTTCTCTCATTCAACATCACAGAATTCATACTGGTGAGAAGCCTTATAAATGTAGTGAGTGTGGTAAGGCCTTCAGTCAGCATTCACAGTTTATTCAGCATCAGAGAATTCACACTGGGGAGAAACCCTACATGTGTAATGAATGTGAGAAATCCTTCAGTGCACGCCTATCCCTTATCCAACACAAGAGGATTCATACTGGAGAGAAACCCTATGAATGTACTGAATGTGGAAAATCCTTCCGACAAAGCTCTCACCTTATTCGGCATCAGAGAATTCACAGTGGAGAGCAGCCTTATATATGTAATCAATGTGGAAAAACTTTCAGTCAGAGAATAATTCTTATTAGTCATGAGAAAATCCATAATCACATTAGAGAACAAGCCTCTGAGCATAGTAAGTGTGAGGAACTCTTTAGTGCACAATCAGCTTTCGGTGAACATTGTACAATTCACAGTGAAAAGTAACTGATTTATTGATAAAATTTTGAGGGGGTGTATGTTATAAGAGCCATACTGGTGAGAATGCAGACACTTTATGGTTTTCATTTTGGAGATTCAGCTCTTAGACCAAGGTAGCACATTTTCCTTCAGATTCAGAGGATGGCCCTCTGCTGAGTACTGTAAACGTGAAATTTAAATATAGTTAAATATGCTATATCACATCAGATCTTAAGGTACAGTTATATATTTCACTCAGCCTGTTTCTTTATCATTTATTTCAGCTTCAAGAAAATTAATTAGGATACTTGTGCTTTCACATATTATGGAACCAGTTTGGGGTTTTCTTGTTTGTTTGGGCCTCTTTGAGATATTTTTGTTCTATCATGAGGAATATGGTACCATAAACTTCAAAAACAGACCAGGCACAGTGGCTCACGTCCTGTAATACCAGCACTTTGGGAGACTGATGCGGGAGAATTGCTTGAGGCTGGGAATTTGAGACTAGCCTGGGCAACATAGATCCCACCTCTATAAATAATAATAATAAAATTAGCTGAATGTGGTCTTAGCTACTCAGGAAGCTGAAGTGAGAAGATCGCTTGCGCCCAGGAGTTCAAGGTTACAGCAAGCTAAGATTGTGCCACTGCATGCTAGCCTAAGCAAGAGAGCAAGACCCTGTCTCTTAAAAAAAGAAAACCAGGCCAGGTGCAGTGACTCACAGCCTGTAATCCCAACACTTTGGGAGACCAAGGTGAGAGGATTGCCTGGGCCCGTGGGTTTGAGACCAGCCTGAACAACATGGCGAGACCTCATCTCTACAATAAATCAAAAAATTAGCCGGGCATGGTAGCATGCGCCTGTAGTTCTGGCTACCTGGAAAGCTGAGGCAGAAGGAGCATGCCACTGCACTTCAGCCTGGGCAATGGAGTGAGACTCCAGCATTTAAAAAAAAAAAAGGAAAATCAAAAAAACTTCAAAAGTATCATTCTTTTTCAAAATCAGTCCACATAAGAGAGAAACCTTATGATTGCAGCAAAAGTTTGTTAAGGAATATGGTGAGTCTTATTCAAACAGTTAAGACCCTGCTAACACATGCAGTCAAATAACATGTAAAATCGGTTTTTCAAAAATGTAACTTGGAAGAAAAACCCCTTGAATTAGGAGGATAATGGCCATAAAGTAGACACATTGAGGTGTGAGATCTAGCTTACAGATGCTGTTCTAAAAGCCAAAGTTAGTGTATTAGACATCAGTTTCTAAGGGAAAGAAAGTTAGTAAATAGCTGCCTACACTAGCCTCCAGGTTTCCACTTAACAGGCAGACTCTGGTAAGGGAGGGGCAGGTCCATTTACTGGCAGAGGATAGGACTCAAGGTTAGGCAGGACAAATGGCATTAAGCAGCCTTTACTGGGTAGATAGGTTTATGCCGTGCTTTTTTGTCTACATGCTATAAGACTGGAATAACAGCCGGGCTCAGTGGCTCAGCCTGTAATCCCGCACCTTGGGAGGCTGAGGTGAGT